TTAAGGCCCTTGGGCCTCTTGTTTAAATCTGTGAAAACATTGCAGGAGGAATGATTTCATTTCCCATGTACGAGAGGCAGCACAGGCAGCACTACTCCAGATAGGAGGAGAAAAGGTGGACAAGGCCATGCACATTACAAAAGTCCTCGCTGAGGAAATCCGTCTGCTCACAGAGGAAAACTAATGGCTGCCTAGTACACAGGTTACAGATGGTCTGGTTATATGGGAGACGGACAACAATTGCTCAAATTAGAAATTAGTGCCAAGAACAAAGCATTTAGATGCTTTGATGTGTGATATTATTGTATGAAATGTTTGAGAGAAAAGAAAAAAGTAAAACTGTAATTTAGCTCTTGGTACGTTTCAAAGGATTTGTCTTCACCATAGAATTTATTAGTTCTGTATAGCACAAATATTATTCTGCTAGTCTTTGATATATGTAAATTACAGTTTATTGCACATGCATTTATTTATATGTATTCTGTAACATTTAGATAAAATCAATTTACTTAGATTGCCAAAGAATAATGAATGGCAGTGTTTAATCAGGTTTGTAGAAGAGATATTGAAAACTGGTGCAAATGATAAACTGGGAAGGGGGGCGGGTACCATTTATTTGACCAGCCCAAATTTAATTAAAAGAATTTGAATGTATAATCATAACATTGAAAAAAAAATCAAAAATTTACTCTCCTCCCCCCCCCCCCCCCCCCCCTTCCCAGTCAAATTGACATGACTTTCATTTTTGCAAAGTTCATGAGGGTAAGAACTAATTTAACATTTCACACGTCTGATTCAGGAATTACGGCAGCACTATTTGATAAATATGTTTACAAGTGTGAAAAGTCCAACTGTGTGCCCTTATCAACTGTTCAAAAAAATGAAAAACATTCCTTGTATTTGTACCTCAATTGATTAGCTTTTTCATTCAGATGCACATAAATTGAAAATTTGTGGATAGTTTATTTCATCAGATTATAAGCTTATGATGTTTTGAATCATGTGTTTCTAAGTAAAGACAACAATTGTGATATATTCACTCTTTTAGAGTGATTTTGTACACAGTTATGAATTATTACAAAAATCAGATCCTGGACATTGGTGATAGTTCATGTAATTAATTAGAAAGAACTAAATTTATTCCAATATATATTTCTACACACTGCATATATGATAGATACATATTTATATATACATGTATGTTTAGAAAGTACAGTTGAACATTGAAACCTCAAATATCATGGATATGTTGATGCAAGTTGGAAGTCTCAATCACTTTTCCTTTATAATTTTAACCTCAGTTTCTTGAATCTTTTTTTTTTTTTGGATCTAACATGTTCAAGATCATGAGGTGTGACTGTATGTACATTATAAATGCATAATATGAATTTTGAACAAGAGGCCTGTCCTGGTGCAAGTTTTTTAAAAACTTTATTTGAATTAGAACATATTGACTGATATAACAAAATGTATGCATATGTGCTGGTCACATAACTTTATTATATAATACACTTTACTGACTCATGGTTTTTGGTCCTTGCCTAAAAATATATTTTTGTTTATAATATAGTATTTGCAATGCAATTTTTAAAATTTTTATATGTCCCAAAGTTTGTTGGGTATTTTGTTACATCTTTATATTTTGGATATTTTTTTCATTTTCCGTCCTCATATTTATAACCTTGAACTGAAGAAGATGTTTTGCAAGCAAATATATTCAAACTTTCCTGTATACTAGTATGTAAACAGTGATTTATAGTCCAAATTTGCAGGCAAATGTCATCAGTTTCTCCATTTAAATCGTATTATTTCTTAATTCCACTTATCCTTGGTATGTAATTTATAGGGATGTAATGATTTACAGAAATATACATGACATATATTCAATTTACATATTGCGGGACATTAAAACATACACCTGTGTATCATGATGTATTTACTGTATTAAATATTTTGAAAGTTTAAAGTTGATGAAATAATCTACATCTATAATTCATTTACATTGAGTTTCTCAACATTGAAGAACAGAGACTTAAGGGGGCCGACTGGGGTTTTCATGGCGCAATACTTCGCGCAGCATAGTAAAATAAAGCGTATTTACTCTTTTAAAGCAACTATTTTTACATAATTTATAAAAATTAACAAATGTCGGAAATATCAGGTTAAAAAATCTACTTATGTTTCTAAATAACTGATTTTTTAAACGATTTTTCAAATGATGGGTATAGATAGACGTCGTAATAGTGTGTTTTTGACGTTATGAATAACCGAAGTTCTTTAAGCGGGGTCATTAATTATGCCATAAAATAAAAAGTATAAAATACATGCTCTTAAAATTTTAAACATAGGAAATTGAGAATCTAGCAATCATTTTTATAATTTTTTATGTAAATCTGTGGTATCTGTCATGTTTTGTTGTACTCCATAAAAACAGGAAAATATCATGAATTTTGACATTTTGAGATGCCCCCTCTGAAAACTAGACGGTAGAATTTTGAGTTTCTTGCACAAAATGTACAATATAGTGTTACCCATCAAATAATATAATTTGAGCAAAAAGTCTGTAGTAGCATTTGTACAATTTGCTCCGAAGTGCGAAAAAATGGTATTTTTCTATATAATCCTATAGTAAATGTACCTGTATTTTGAGATGGTCCCTAAAAAAAACCAGACGGTAGATTTTCACTAAACTTGGCATGTATACTAAAGTCAATGTAAGGTACATATGGTATAAAATTAATTTGTACAATATATTTTGCCGGTAGAAAAAACGTTGCCCAGTTGAGTAACCATAGTAATGTGCATGATATAATAGCATAATGATACTATTTATCTTTTGATATAGCTGTAACTGAGCATACCAGCACCAATTTATTTATTATACAGCATATATTATTCTTATTGTTGCATCTTCTTTTAATTTTATTGATTGTTTTTGGGTTTTTGGGGTTTTTTTTTTTTGGTTTTTTTGTTTTTTTGTTTTGTTTTTTTTGCAGTGTTTACTGTGGAAAAAATATTATCTAGTTTACATTAGACAATATACATATTGTAGAAAGAGGCATTATGTCTGCTTTTAGACACTTTAATAGTAGTTTTCACTACACTGTACATGTTGTGACATACATATGCTATAAATAGTTCATACCGATAATCGGCAGAGCCACAATATTCAAGAATGTTTCTAGTACTTTGAACAAAAGATACATTTTTTAAAAGAAATTGTTGTTTTATAACCGGGGTAAAATTAAGAAAAACTTGTCCAAAAAATCTCTAAATCTTTCAAATCTCTAAAAGGAATGTACCGCTAAATTTGGGTTTGGTTTATGTACCAATTTTTTTTTTACAAAAGTTTGGTGAGTAATTTTTATTTCTTTTCCAGAACTACTAAATAAAATTGAACAAGCATCCTTTAATTGATAAATAGATTTTAAAAAGGGGTCTTCTGTCCTTAACTTTAGTCATGGAGAGATTAAGTTGAAATATGGATTAGGTAAAAGGCTATAAGGGTTACTTCCTAAATTATTAATCAAGTACAAATTTGTTTATAAGTCATCATTATGCAAATGAATTTTCTTATATATAAAAAAGAATTTTAAGTAAAGGGTAATGTTTGCAAGATGTTTGATGGATAAAAATGGATAAAAAAAAATAGCCTGCTCCCCCCCCCCCCTTTTCCAAAAACATGATATTATGGGTTTATAAGACATTTCAAAATCAATAATTTTGACTATAATGTAAAAATTTTTATTTTCATGGGGTCAAATTTTCATGGTTTGATGAAAATTTATTGGTTCAAGAGTATTTGATTTCGTCATGGAAGAAGTGTTGAGATGATATATATTAGAAATTTTACATTTCATGGAGGACATGAATTTGTGGGTCTCTTCTTACCACAATAACAACCCCCCCCCCCCCCCCCCCCCCCCCCCCCCGGAGAATTAGTGATTTTCACAGTAAAGGTCAGCATATTGTTTTTATTGGTCAATGAACCATTCTTGGTAACGGTACCTTGCTTTCTCATCTGTTGTGAGGTTTTAAGTTTTCTTCTATGATTTTTGTTGTTTACTATTTTTTTAATATATGGATTCACCATGACACTTATAAAAATTATACATATCACTGTATCTGAATACCTCAGTAAACACAGTACTGTAGCATCATAAGTTATACATATGTAGCATAATGCTTTAAAAATGCACTATTTTTGATATTGTCTTGTCAATAACCTGTGATTTTGATACAAATATTATTACTGTTGATAATATTTGAATATTTCTTTAAGAAACTTTAAATTCTCTTTATAATATATTATTCTTCATTCATTAAAAGTGAAAAGTACCTTCACCGTAGACCTGACCTTATAATCATTCCTATAAAGGTAAAGATACCTGCTCTCAAATTTATTAATAAAGTACCCTCAGTACTTGTAAGGGAAAATATATGTACAGTTGAACTTCGGTATCTCAAACATTGATATCTCGAATACCATGTATATGTCAAAGTGATTTGGAAGTCCCAACCCCTTATTCTTTAAGTATTTTACCCTGGATATCTCGAATCCTCTGATATTTTTTTCTTGGTCCCAATGAGTTCAAGATAACGAGGTTTGACTGTATTATGTTTTATTACAGATGTTCACAAAGAGAACTTGTGTATTTATTTAGTGATTTAAACATTCTTTAACTTATGGTCTATATTAGTGCCATTAATTAGTCATTAATTACCACTGTCTGTCATGTCATTACTGATTACATTGATTACATTATAAGTGGTAAGCACGACTTTGCATACTGTAGACAAAGCATAATGTACACTGTACATGCAGAATACATGTATGTAGAAAAAAAAATTGTATCATAACATTAACACAAAATCTCTAGTTAGCAGACTTAAAACAAGGGTTGCATTAATGTGTACGTGTAATGACTGTAGGTGTATGAAATTAACCAACACACATAACCAGAACATGAATTTCCATCATAAAGAACATACACTGTATATCTAATAAAGCTCTTTATTTGATATGAATGTACATGTACATACAGTCTTGTAAATCAAATCATGAACTGTCCGTGGCCTCGCAGAAGAGGGCAGCACCAAAGGCAGAGTCACACTCTCTACCCAATTCCACATCAATGTCACCATATTGGGTCATGACCTCTCTTTGAATGATGGGATTTTTATGTATCACAGATCCTGTCCCTAACAATTTTTTGACTCCCTTTTGTTTTAGATAGGAAGGAGACACCATTCTGGTGATGTTTTCTATTATTCCTTTACAGAGTGCATTAAACACACTGTGAAGGTCCATATTGCTAGCTGTGATTCCAGATACTTTTCCGTACTGTGAAGGGGCATGCCTTTCTCCAAATATGGTGGGATGGATCTTTATAGGATTCTCATTCTTGTTTGTTTTAGGAGATGACTCTAAGAGGGTTTTCCATATATCCTCTTTACTCTTGACACAGCCTGAAAGAATTTAACATAAATTCAAATATCTGGTGCATACAAACTTTTTTATGTCTTTAATTGTTTCACAAGAAAAGAATGAATTGCAACCATGCATTGCTAACCATGCATTGGAAGCAGTTTGTTTATTTTTTTATGGCTTACCAAAAGCTGCGATCCAGTTTTGTAACATGCTGACAAACTGAGAGAGAACATTTCCACCATTTAGACTAGCGGCCACAGCCAAATACTGGTTATTAAAGTAAGGGAAAAACTGCACAGGAGAAGAGGATTCTGGGAATGTTGGGACTGTCTCAAGGAATTCTGGGAAAGCCATTTGGCAAGAAGTTCCCAAATTCAACACTGAAACATTTAACATACAATCATTGTTTGCAAAGTGATAAAGATTTATACAAACTTACAACAAATCTTTTGCCAACTCGAAGTTATTTGTTTTTCCTCCAATTATTCACAAAACTGGTCATAACAATTCTTTATCTTGTTATGCATCTGCCAAGTTTCCTTAAATCTAATATTTTATTCAAGCTTTAATACATGTTTTGCATAGGTTTTGGATTCATGCTTTACTAATAGATTGTGTATGTAAATACTTGTACAGTGTACAGATATATCTATAAGCAATCCATATTATTGAAGCAATTGTAAGCCTAAGATAAACTCAAATGCCTTATCTGGATTAAATAAGTAATTGTAAACATAGGTAAATTCACTTGTTACATGTAATTGTAAACATAAGGTAAACTCACTTGTCTCATCTGGATTACAGAAGTAATTGAAACTATAAGCTCACCTGCCTAAACTTGATTATAAATGGATTTGTAAACATAAGGTAAATTTACCTGCCTCATATTGTTTATAGACTTAAGTGTAAACTTAAGGTAAACTCACATGTCTCATCTGGATTATAGAAGTAATTGAAAACATAAGGTAACCTCATCTGCCTCATGTGGATTAATTATAAAAGTAAATGTAAAAATAAGGTAAACATCTGGATTAATGAAGAAATTGTTAACATAAGGTAAGCTCACTTGCCTCATCTGGATTAGAGAAGTATTGTAAACATAAGGTAAGTCCATTGGCCTCATGTGGATTGTAGAAGTTAAAAAAATAAGATAAGCTCACATGCCTCACTTGGATTAGAGATGGAATAGTAAACATAAAGTAAGCTCAACTGCCTAATCTGGATTAGAGATGTAAAATAAACTCACCTGCCTCATCTGGATTACTTAGAACTGAGTACACAGCACACTGTGTGTCTCCCAGAGCAACTAAAACTGGTGTGCCTTTCTTTATGCTGAACCAGTCAAACTGCAGAGTACCAGCTTTTTCACCAGGATTCAACACTTGTGGAAGCAGATGGAATGGAAATGATTTCTGTCCCAATCTGTGAGACAAAGACATTACCATGATTACATTCATATACAGTCAAACTTTTGTTATCTCAAACTTGAAGGGACCAAGAAAATACTTTGAGATAACCAAGGATTCGAGATATCCAGGGTAAAATACTTAGAGAATAAGCAGTTGGGACTTCAAAATGACTTCGACATATCCCTGGTTTTTGAGATATCTGTGTTCAAGATACACAAGTTCAACTGTACATCAATGCTCACCTCAAAAAATATTTCTATGCAAAGACACACAATAATGAATCTTTGATAAAATGCTCATTAGTTCTTCTTATCATCAAAGCAATTGAATAAATATATGGGTAACAAAATTACACGACTTTTACTCATTTATTAATAAGTTGTGTGTTAAGCATGGAAGTTATGAAGTTTTATTAGATATTTATATTTATACACACTTCAATGAACTTGAAAATAAGTACAAGTATTTGTGATCCAAATAGCTATTGTACACATTTATACAAAATATCAAACATTTTACTTACATCTCCTTATTCCAACACCCTGTGCTTGAATCAAAATATCCCCAGCTAGCAGCAAGTTGATTGGACGTGATGGGGAATTCCAATCCACACAACACACAAATTAAGAAATCCATAATTGTTCCAGCCCTATCAAAACTGGTTAAGAAGTCTGGTTGGTACCGGGACAACCAGAACAAGGTAGCATTACCATGTCCAGTTGATAAAGGCAGATGGGAACATGGTTTTGGAAGGGAAGTTAGAAATTCTGCTGAGCATCGCTGGTCTTGCCATGTATAAAGACGGCTGGTGTGCTGAACATTAAATGCATTGTTTTCTTGGATGTAAAATTTGTTTAAATGTTTTGAGCACCAAAGCACAACTCCATGCATCTGTCCTGTGATGCAAATTTTCTTCACAGAAGAAAGGGTTTCTGGAGATAACTCTTTCATACATGATTGCACTGTGGATAATATTATAGCTACATCTTGCTCAAACCCAGCACTCCCTACACTGCTCTTTGTATCTGCTTTTGTTGGTTGAGAGACTGAAGCAACTTGTTTCCCATTTAGCGCAATACTTATTTTCACCGATGTTGTTCCCAAATCGATACCCATAAAATATAACCCTGGCATTGTCTGAAATTTACAGTAAAATCAGTGTAAAAATATTTTAACATTTGACATGGTATTAAAAGTGCTATAAAAGTAAGCTAGATCAATTTTTTGCTTGTGACGCATTCCTTTACTCTCTCTATAATAATCGTCAATCTTAGGACGGTGGTGTCAATGTTTTCGCAAAATGTCCTGGTAGGGAAAATATTATTTATGAAAAATGTCCTATTCGATTATAAAATTATGATAACTCTTATTGCATGACACATCTATACTGGAGAAATATTGGGCTTTTCATTTTAGTTCATCGAACATTGAGCATACCTTAAAAACCAGGAAGCGAATGGATGTCGCTAAAAAGGGAATCAAACCGGTTAGTTTTGTATATTTCCGCACTGATGATGATGTTTTCACACACACACACACACACACACAAAACATTGTATGAAAACAATTTCCTGTTTAAGATACATGCCAGTGAATATATGAAAAGAAGCTTGGGGTACAATGCCTCAACAACACAACCTTCTCTCCCCCCCCCCCCGCCCCACCCCTCCCCAAACAATAACATTATTGCAACACACGTAAGCAGATCACTTCTTCAGTGCAAAGTTGACACATTTTTTCTTGCTTTGGGAGTTTAGTAATTTAGTAATTCTTTCATATAGAGGGCGATAATAAACCGGTTCATTTTTTCCACATTATGAACCCTCATTACATTGCATACTAACATTCTGACTAATAGAGTTCTTTTTCCATGGTATTTCTCTATGCTTTTAGAGGGATCTGCCTTAACATCTAAAATCAAACAAATGCATGGAATTCTACAGTGCATTACTCAATCTGAAATCAATTAAAGTATTCATTAGGCTTAGATTAATTACTTTGAACACTTAATATGTCTGTACTTTTCTCATTTAAGGAATCAGTATAGTGATTTCTTAATTAATGATATACATGCACTTCGTTGTCTTTGAACATTTTTCTTGGGGTTAAATGAAGTAAATAATCTTAATAATTAACACCTTCATAAATTATGATTTTCTCAATGTCCAAAAAACATTTTCCTCAGTGTATGGTGGGTCCTTAATACATACAGAACAGTCATGTTTACGCTTATAGCTGAACTTGGTAATTGTTTTCTATATATGAACACTCAATTCAACAAATTATATACAAGTGTAGGGTTTAAAAAAATTACTAAAACATTTGATTTCAATGGAATATTACATTCAACGTCATGTGAAGGTTCAAAAAATGGTAGGGGCGGCTTTTAATTGAAAATTTCCATATTAGTATACAGTTAAAGTATATCATTGAGGGAGTTAGCAAGATTCCAGTTCCCCAAGGCCAGAACTATTTCCCGAGGCGAAGCCGAGGGAAATAGTCCTGGTCGAGGAGAACTGGAATCTTGCTAACTCCCGCAATGATATACCTTTAACTGTTTTATTATACCGATACAAGCGTAAAATTTAGAGGAAGCAGATAGCGTGATTTTATAGCAGGGATTAGCTCACTGAACTAACACACGGGGATTAGACCATTCACATATCATGCCAATGTAAAAGTAAAATCTAGAGGATTACGAATAACCGGGAATTAGCTTTTGGTGCGGGGATTAGCTCACTTGACTAACGCACGGGGATTAGTCCATTCACAACGATTTATAGGGAATTAGTCACATCTAACGATCTAATGTTATATAGGGAAAAAATCAGTAGAGGTATAATAAATTAAATTAACAGCGAGAGAGTTTGGTTAGGAGCCCCCCCCCCCCCCCCCGCCCCGGTACTACGGGCCTGCGAATAAAATTTTTAAACGACTTTTTTTTCATTGCATCAAGCATCATCTCCCCAATCGTCCTTGAAATAGAGAAAAAACAGAAACAAATCAGGTTTCGTTAAGATAATGTTTTTACTCCTCGTTTTACACACTGTGCAGGCATTACATCTTGTCATCTTTCCAATTAAGACGAGGAATGTTCTATTTAGATTTCCGCACAGAAGAGTCACCCACACTTGTTATGGAAGGTTTATATATCGGTATTCACAGATTCGGAAGTTAAAGTTTACTACACTCTTGAGAAATTGGACCTAAAAAGAAAGTCACAATACAATTTAACGTTTTGAGCTTGCACAAGGACGATATCGCAAATGAGATATGCAAGTGACTGTTTACCTGAAAAAAAAGAAAAGCTAGCACCAATTCAGGTATGCAAGATAGATTTTTTAGTCGCAACATCTTAGAAATTCTTAACTTTTTAGCTTTAATTGTTGTGCATGGCACCAGGGGCTTGCGTCGCTATTTATTCAGGAGGGAATAGACTTTGTTAAAAAAAAAGGTAGTGATTTAGTTGAAATTATCAGTAGGACAGTTATGAAATAATCGTCAATTTCTTCCTGTATAAGGTCAGATTGGAACTGAATTAAGTACATTCTTTTTTGTAAGGGTATATTTGTAGAGAAGCTGCTCAATTTAATCATACAAACAATTTGCCTGCAAGATGTCCAAGAGTATAACGATGGAGATTTTCAGAGATGTAATGTACTTTCAATATAGTCTGGAGTCCGGACCATGGGCTAGGGAATATGGATTTTAAAAGTCAAAATATTATGTACATCACTGAAAATACACTGATCTGTAAATGGATTTATTAATCAGGGAGATAATTAAATGATAAATAAATAAGTATTTTCCCTGTTGTCCATTTCCGTTTTCTTTTTAAATAATTCCTTTTGAATTGATATCTATACACACATCTAAAACGTGTAATGTGTTAATTTTAAGAACATCCTATTGACCTCGTTACCATAGTACTTGACCATACCTCTAACTTAATCTGGTGTGATGTACTTTAATTTTTGTTACAAATATATTGACCACTTTTTATAGATAAAAGTATTTAGGTCTTTGGTCATTTTGAATTGGTGTAGGACTTACTTTTTTAATGCGGATTTTAAATTTGATAGGGTTGGTGGAATATTTGGTTATTGAAGTAAGAGAAATTTTCAATCAAGCATTTAAAGTCGCGAAAGAGGAGTATTCATTATTTAGAATTTTTTATGCACATACTCATTCTATAGACAGCTTTATGTACAGTGTATAAATTGTTCATGAACGAATTTATTTTTCAGTATTTACATTTTCAGATGTCTTTGTCCGAGAGAGAACAAAAAAAAAACTACAAATAAGGAAATAACTTTTTATTTGCTCATTATATGACTTCTGCCTTTCCGCTGTTTGTAGCATAGTAATACATTGGGCATGGCTTGTAGACTTAGATTTCTAAATATTTGAATAAAGATAATGTAAATATTTCGTTTGTTAAATTAAGGATCAGGTAAAAACATATATATATGAGACTCCAAAGTAAAGGTCAATAGGTCAAAATTGTTAGTACCCAAGGGAAGATCATGACACTAGAAATACAAAAGTATATATGATATGAAAGCCCTAGCTCCAACCATTCAAGGTTAAGGTTTTTCAAAACCTGTTCAAAAGTTATGGCCAAGGTTAAAGTTTGGTAAAATTTTGCAAAAGTGGGTCAAACTCCAAGCTCAAGGTCAAGGGGTCAAATATGTTGGTACCCAAAGAAAGACAAGGAATAAACCTGTGAAATATGAAAGCCATAGCTCCAACCAATCAAAAGTAATGAGCAAGGTTAAAGTTTTAGCAGACGAACAGGCAGACAGATGGAAGAACAGAGCAAAAACTATATGCCGCCGAATCTTCGATTACGGGGGGGGGGGTAAAAAAAAAACCTCAGTTCTTTCTTAATTCACGTATTGTTTGTGCATTGTTGTACTATTCATACCCCTTATAATTTTATTCGAGTAAAAATTCGCATCAAAATTTAATATTTGACATTTGTGTAATTTTTTTTGTGTAGATTTTAAAAATTTACCATCTTTTTTTTTTGTTTTGTTTGTTGTTGTTGGTTTTTTTTTTTTTTTTTTTGGCTTGTGAAGGGAATTTTTGGTAGTTGATGCCCTTTTTTTTTTTTTTTTTTGCTTGTCAGGAAATTTTTGGTAGTGCCCCCTTAACTGTCAACTGAAAATGTATGGCTGTGCCCCCCCCCCCCCCCCCCCGACTGAATTTGCTTCCTACGGGCCTGACCTCTTATCCGCAACTCCTCCTTTACCACGGAATAAAATTTAATGAGACTTACACAGAATCTTCATTACATTGTCCCACTGTGCACCTCTTATTTTACGTTTTAATCAGACAGATATTTGGGGGTTTACTATAGCAAAACATGGGCACAGGCATTCTTTAGATAACGTTTGAAGGTACCCATCTCTTTTCTGCAGATCTCCCTATAACACTGAATAAAATTAAATTAGATTTTCATATGTTCTTTATTACACAGTGTCATTATGCACCTTCTATTCAATGTTGAAAAGCATTTTTATTTAAGGATTGTTTGATCTCTGTTTTTCAGTTTAAGTAGAGAGGCCGGTTTAATAAAATGTATTTTATCGAAGGAATAGACTAAGTATATGGGTACTTCAAAAGTATTCATAATAAGACACATTAATTTCACAAAAAGGGGGTCTGGCCGGGGTATTCATATGCCCGATTTTTTTCAATGAGAGCATATTCGAGCTTAGAAGTCAATGAAAGCAGCTTTCCATTAAATTTATTTTTTTCAACAGAATGACAGAAATTTTACTCCGAGCAGAGTTTGTCATTATTGCTGTAGTGAGAGTAACATGTATCCAGATTACACCCGTGGACCTTCAGCCGGAGTACGAGGTATGGCACCCAGGGACAAATGATACCACTGGATTTTTGTACTGTCATGTCAGATGCTCTCATTTAACTTTAAACAATTACATTAGTGGTCGTTCTAGCGAAACCCAGGGGAAGTGCTGTGACCACAACCATTTGTCCTTTTATGACGCCATTAATAGCGTATATCATGACATCATAAGGAATTTGTCCGTAGAATACATTAATTACAACGGAAAAGCCATTGTATTTCCAGACCCACCAGTAGAAAAATATACAAATTATTTGTTCGTCTGTAGACATGAAGGAGGGTATCTTTCTGAAATTCCGGAAAATATTTGTGAATTTAACACCACAATCAAACTTTTACTATCAAACAACAGAATTAAAGATTTCGGGAAAATTGGATGTCTGAATCTACTGAGCGAATTGGATCTAAGTCACAATAAAATAACCTTCATCAACAACACGACTTTTATCAACCTGTCTTTTCTGTGGAGGATTGATTTCTCATTTAACCAGATAAAGACAATTGCACCATTCACGCTGACTTCGTCGTCATTATGCCTTCTTGAAATGAAATTTTCCAACAATTTTATAACAGAAATCGACATTTCTAACGTATTTGTAGACCGCGTCATAAGATATCTAGACTACTCAAATAACGACTGCATTCATAAATTCGTAAATTTAGGTCAGTTTTCTTTCAAAACTTTAGAAGACAAAGGACAAGATTGGTATGAACGCGGTGGTTTTGTAGATTTCAGATATGCCCTGTGTTTGAAAGAATTTCCAGACCTCATAAAAATTGCAAAAATTGAAGACGACCCAACATTTTTAGGAAAAGTTTTTCTGTATTCTTTTCACTTTGGAGATTTTGTTTGGCCTTGTAACAGCGCCATCTATTCCTTAATGAACACTGTTAAAGATATTTGTATACTTGAAAAGGAATACATACCCATTAAATGTCGAGATCCTTTTAATAACATTTTGACAGTTTGCAAGGCGATATTATGGAATGACACCTCCATATTTAAGACAAACTTGACCAATGAATGTCCAAATAGGAGCTGTTTTTGCTACCATCAAGCAGACATCAACAGCACAATTGTAAATTGTACTAACAGACGTCTAAAAAGATTTCCGGATATTTCAAAACTTCGGAATTTCAAAAATATATCACTGTTCCTAGATAACAATATTATATCAGATATAAACATTAGTTATTGGGAGAGATTAGATGTGTTCTACATCGATTTGTCAAACAACCCGATTACAAGTGTCCCCGAAAGTTTCTTTCACACATTCCAAAATACAAAACACATCTATATGAGAAGTAATAATATAGAGTCGGTTTCTAAATCTCTGATGAACATGAGGGATGTTTGTGCTTTTGATTTTGCTACAATACTTTCACCTTGCACTTGTAAAGATAGTTGGTTATCAACTTGGCTGAGAAGTCGAGAATTGTCAGTTTGCAAGGACAAAGGAACTATTATCTGCAGAAATTCTAAGAAATCTATCCTTAGCTCAGAATCACAGGAGATATTTCAGGACTGCTACGAGGACCTGAGGAAATATGCTTTTCTCTCCATGGTGTTATTTTTGGTTCCATTATGGCTCCTGTACTCTGGGTTCAAATACAAAGTGGAACTATTTCTTATCAAGCGTAAGCTGCTATCAAGGTACGACAGAAGCACTGACTCTTCATTTTTCTATGATATTTACATCTCATCTCCTGAAAATGATCCCGATTTAAGAAGATGGCTATTTGAAACGTTTGTTTCATATTTCGAAGGTCATAACTATAAAGTCTTTTGGCCAGATCGAGACTTTAAAGTAGGGGAGATAATGGCAGATCAGATAACTGAATTGACGCCTCTATGCAAAAATTCCATTGTCTTCTTGTCAAAAAGTGAAGAGCGTGGGTTCTTTTCATGTGAGAGGCAAACGATTGAATGGAAGTACATATGGAATAAGTACAAGATATCTAAGAACAAAGAAATATTGCTTGTGAATCTTCACAACATCAGAGCACGTGAATGCCACGAACGTACCGTTTTGGCGTTTTTAAGACTGGGGTACACACTTAGTTTTGACAATCAGAATCATCGTTTACTACAGGATATTAAAGACAGAATTGGTGCGCCTATTTCTACAATAAATTGCTTCCAAACTTCTACAAAAAATGGCTTCCAAACTTGTAAACCAAAGTTTGATTGTTCAACAATCATGACAATCAAACTCCAAATTTAATATTTTGTGCTGAAACTCTTTAACAATTATGTTGTAATATGCTCTTTAAAATTTAAAGAATATTCTGTTTTTGTTTTAATTATTTTCTCCAATAAGAAATAAAGTTTAATATTGTATATTTCTTGTATTTAACAGCATGTATACTCAATTTTCCCCTTTTACTCAAAAAGTATGCTTGGTATTTTTGGGTATGTTGAGGGTTTCAATGAACGTTTACAGATTTGCAAGTTACGAAAACATCATTTAGAACGTCTACTGAAAGCTACAAAGCGGTGCATATGGTCACCAGAGAAAAAGTAGTTTGCTTTGTACAGAATTTTTATGTGCTTGAAATCGCCAAAACATTTCCGGAAAACAAATAGATTTCACAGCAGGTCAGTGATCTATGATAAAGTCATAGTTATACAGACTCCTTGTCTAAGTTTCAGTATACAAATTTTTGATCAACTACTAGTGTCTAGTAATCCTTATATAATTAACAAACATTATATAAAAATATTGGAAGTAGCTAAGTGTATCATTGAAAATTTTCACCCCTTGAAAACCAGTCAACCAAGGCGCAGCCCAGGTTGACAATATTTTTTCGAGGGGTGAAAATTTTCAACGTTACACTCAACTACTAGTACTTGCGATAGTACTATATATACGCAGTATTTAAGTATCTCAAAGAGATAGAAATTTAAAACTTTTTCTTCGATTGACTTGACCTTATTTAAATGACCTTAGATCAAAGTTATGGCACATCTACAAGTCATAAGCCATTTTTCCCACAAAATGGACTTCAATATTTGTCTTTGACACAGGTTGGCCCAGAAAGGAATTACAGTATACACTTGTGTCATTGACTTTGAACTTGTCCAAATGACCTTGGGTCAAGATTATGACCCTCCTTCTTGGGTCGAATATCGGCTTCTAATGTAATTTACAACTCTTTTAGTTGTTAGTAGCAGGAACATCTCCAAAAGTTTGAAAAAAATTCATTAAAGCTTGAACTCAAAATATGTGAAAAATAAATCATTCTTTTATTTAACAAATTTTATGTTGACATCACATAAACATTTAAATGACATGAAATAGTCGCACACTCACAATGATTTGAATTCTTAATGAAATTTGGCACCAGATCTGAAATTCATTTCCTGAAAGACAAGTGGGCATCCTGAGGTAGAGCTAAGATCTGTATAGGGTCAAGGTAAAATAACATATAGTATTACAAGTGATAAAGTTTATTACACAGTCTAATATATTCCACTAAGACAGAAAAACCTTGGGTTTAATCACCAAAAGGATACACAATCTTTGTCTTGGAGAAGCTTGATCACCGATTCTAAGGGAGGATAACTCTTTAAAGAGTTGACATGCCCAACCAATATCAACATTTTCTTTGCTCTTGTTAGAGCTACATTCAGCCTCCTGATATCTTTCAACAGCTCACCAGACTGAAACAGGGAAAAAAACCTCATTAGTAATGGGAACTTACAATTATACACGCATTTAATTGTAACTAAAATAAGCTAAAGCTTACACCATTAAAATACAGTAAAACTTGGTTATAAGAAAGTAACTGGGACCTCAAATTTTACTTCCTCATAACTGAGATTTTTTATATCCATATAAGGAACACAGTGAAAAGTAACCTACGAGACTCATAAAAAAATTCCTTATAAGCAAAATTTCCTTCTATCCGAGCTCATTATAACCAAGTTTTTATTGTAACCCAGTGCACAGTATTGACATTAGGACAATGAAATTATTAAATATAAAGCAGAAAGAAAAGAATAAGCCAACTGTTATGAACCTTTGTTTCTGCATCTGTTGGAGAGGAAAAGCTTCTTGTCAATGAAATAATGATGATATCCTTGTCTCGACCTTGGTATTGGTCTACTGTGTTGACCTCAACTTCCTGTTTGCAGGTTAAAAGGTCACGGATCAAGGTCACCTGCTTCCTATAAGGAGCAATGACCCCTATATTGCTCTCCTTTACACCAATCTGAATTCAGAGAGAACTTAAGATTAAATCAAGACGTGAGGCTTGAAATTACTTAAGAAATAAAGTCCATCATGAATGTTGCAGGATAACCTCCGAGGTCGAGAAATGTTCGAAATATAAAGCCTAGGCTTTTATATTTCAAACAACATTTCGAGACCGAGGAGGTTATCCTGCATCATTCACGACAACAAGGACTTTATTTCTATTCTACTAACAGCTCTAAAATAATATATTCCTCTATAGAGAAACGAATTAGGTCACCATGTCGCGATTACGCTGTTCCATTTAACACCAGAGGGTCAATTTGTTTACTTGTGTATCGATTGCATAGAATGCAGACGATTTGAGCTTTTGTTGTGTTAAAAATATCCTTTAATTATTTATGAATTTGTTTTTAAGTTTGTAACATAAATTGATTAAGTTCGATGAATGTAAAAAACAAAATAAGTTGTCTATTTCATTGCTATATCAGTAAAATCACAGAATGTAAATGTTGTGGGGAGGTCCTTGAAACAGCCCAACTTAGCTATAAAAACTGATATTTATCAGCTGTTTTAGGCAATACACACTCTTTAGACTGCGGAAGATGACACATTGATATGGTCTAAATAAGTTTTAGATTCTACAGTGAAATATTCATTTCAACTGTACAGGTTTGATATGTGTTTCTGATCTGACAAGTTTTTGATGACATTTGTGATTTATTGGAGAATAATGTCCGCAGCATTTCTTTGATCTCAGCAATAACTGTGGTAGAATTTTTAAATAAAGAATTAGAAGTCCCCGCCAAGACTGTAGCTCTACTGGTATGTACTTATAACCAAGCACTTGGACTTGAAACTAGGACATCAGCAATAAAGAGATTAATTAAGAATAAAGATCTTTGGTTATGTCTCTTTCTGTGGCAATTTTTAAGCAATTTTACTAAAACTGTAGGAGTAGCATTTTGAAAGAATTTTTTAAAAATGTGCCATCTCTATTTTTTTTAACCATGGCAACACCATTCACTGAAATTAAAAACCAATATATAGAATTACGTATCTTCCACTCTACCAAATTATATTGAAATTGGACTAAAACTGTAGGAGGAAGAGCATGAAAAAAAAACAATTACAGACAGATGGACACTTTACTATTGCATAAACTTTTCTGGTCTCTAACCACTGGAGCTAAAAAATACATTTTACCTAAAACATGTAAATATCAGCACAGTATATTTATCTTATTATGATACTATATATAGCTTGGATTTCACTTAATTTCTGTGGCATCTAGACAAATTTTGTTCTTTCTCAGCTTTATAATAAATTTGTGAATCAAATTTACAATTTTTTCTATGCAAATCTTTTTATAGTTTATCCATGCTACATTCTTCATTGCATTAATTTCACAAATTCTCGTTGTTTGAAATTGGTTAAGTCAAAGTGGACTGAAAAATAAAGCTACCATATCGTACCTTAACAAAGGATTCTACCAGACATGTAACAATTCGAGCTTCTATGACATTCTTGATTAAGCCTGTACTATCTCTCTCTTCTTGTGCTGGCACCTACAACAAATGAAATACATATAAATCCTATGAAAAGTTGTTACCACAAACAGATGACATCAAATAATGTATTGTGAAATTATGTGGAGGGTTACTGAAGAGACCATGAATTTATGTCCTCCAAAATTGTTTTAATATATTTTAAACTTCAAATAACTCTTCATTTCTTCAACCATGAAATCAAAACCCAACAAACCAAATTTTTTTCCTCAAATTAAACCATAAAAAATTGCCCCCAAAAGAAAATGAGTGATTTTACAGGTATGGGTACAGGTATTCTAGTTTTATACATTATCAACTTATTTACATACTGTATTTGTATTGCTTGTTATTTCCTTCAAGTGTGATAAAATCCATGACAAATCTCCTAAAATTGGTACAAAATGTTACAAATGCCACTCATGCTGTTTAATAATGCATTTTCTCAATTTTTTTTTCAATATAACATAGTAAGATTGCCTATTCATCTTCAACTATTACAATAATTTACATGTAGCATGTTGACAGTGTGCAGTTTACCTTATCTGTGTCCAGAAATAATGCTGCCTTATAAGGTTCATCTGAAAGAACTTCACTCATCCAGCTGTACTCCTCAAAAACCTGCAAATTTCATTTTTATTTCTTCAATTCATAACTAAGAAGAGGTAAAGTTATCGACAAAACCATCTTCAGGAAAAAAAAATAATCTACATCAAAATGTCCTTGTAAAACTTTCTTGATACAATGAACAGTACAGATTTTGAAAGGAATAATTTTTCTAATGAATAAAATAGAGTATTTAAAAATACATTTTTGGTGAATTATGGGTCTCATTTCTTATCAGTAAAATCAGAAATTTAATTTTCTTTCCTGCACATCTTTTTTTCTGTAATATCTTTAATTTTGTTTCCTCATTTTGAAAGGGGGTGGGGTATTTGGATGATACTGAAAACACCTTATATTTGGCTGTGTATTCTTTTTAGTGCCTTTGGCAAACAGCAACTTCCACTAATTCAAGTACAATGCTGAATGTTTTGCACATAATACACATAAATAAGAACATTAAGAAATACGCTAAATCAAGTCTATGCTAACTTGTTCAAAATCAATTTTCGCCAAATATCATACTCACTAAATATAACACATTTACAGTATGCATCCTACTATTTTTACTCTAAAAGTATTATTTTCAATTTGTATGAGGTTTCTTTTATTACATAAATAGAGGATATTCAATGTTTTGTAGATGAATATGGAATTTATTTCACGAGTGGGACAGGATTTTTTTATATTTTCACTTGTGCTTCGCACTCGTGAAAATATCAAAAAATCCTGTCCCACTCGTGAAATAAATTCCATATTCATCTACAAAACATTGAATTTTCTGTTTATTACATTTTCTTTGATTTTCCCTTTGCCTCTGTCTTTTCTTAACAGAGTGTCATAGGCTTGACGTCATAGTTAAGCGGTTGAGACGTCATAGCTTAGCAGTTGTGTGATTGAAAACATTACATAGCATGGATTTTAGCAACATATTTAGGAAGAAATTTGCAGTTTTAGCTCAATCAAGATGCTTAGTTACTATCTCTATCTTATGACAGTCCAGAAATTATTTTTTACTTACTCTGTTATCCTTTCACACTGTGAGAGAATATCATTTTGGTATCCTTTCACACTGTGAGAGAATATCACTTTTATTCAATAAATAAATCACAGTATTTCACTGTTGAAAATGAAATAAATCTGCCTTTCTTTATTTTTTTTAGCCAATTAGAAAAAAAAATTCATCAGGTATAATAAAGTTACCTCATTCACAAGGCTACTTTTAGACCATTTCAATCTGTTGAAGGCAACACTATCATTTCCACACTTTAGACATCCATTGTAGACAAGTGTATTGCTCAAATACATAATATCTCTGAAAAATATTGATACAAAATATCAATCCCGACATCAAAACTCAGCAAAATGACAATTTCCCAATATGTATGTAAATGAAAGTGAACTGAGATGTCTGTACCTGTTCATTCTATATTGTAGATTTAATTCAAAAGTAGCAGATCCATTTTGTAATCTAACAAAAAGGCTCTCATCCATACCCAGATCCCTACAAAAAGCCAGGAAATATTCACCATATTTACATGAGAAATGCATTTAAATATTATACAAATAAATGCTATATCTATATATGATTGCATAAATGGATAAACAATGTATTGAATAAATAAATCTGCAAAAGAGTGCACTTTCAATTCATTTAGAAAAAAAAACTCTTTTAAAGCTACTGGAATAAGTTAACATTTAAACATCCATAAAAGCAAATTTTTTCCCATGACATTAAAAACTGGTCCTGCATGTATCACAAACAACAATTGTTTTAGAAACTTAAATTGAGTGGGCATCTTCCAATGTTTAGAGTAGTTTGACCCTTGACCCTGTGGCCTCAAAATCAATAGAGGTCATCTACTTCTCAGGAGATACCAGTGTACCAAGGTTGACATTTGTCAAGCAAAGGGTTCTTAAGATATTGAGCAGACAACACTTCGTCTACTGACGGACATACTGACCAACAAACTGACAGGTGCAAACCTTTCAAGGAGGGGAAAAAACCCAAAAGTCAAAAACTGCTTACAGAAAAACAGACAGATGGATATATTACAGAGATCATCTCATTCTTCTGGTCTTTGTTCAAAAGAGTGAAAATAATAGGACTTATCTGCAGCAGTGAGAGACAGACATGAATCTCCCTGAAGTTTCCATTCTATCCATTCAAAGAAAATTACGTTTTTAATATTCCAGGCAAAACTTAATGTGCAGTGGAACAGCTGAACAATGAAAATTTGAAAACTCTACCTAGCTTCCTTGCTCTGTACAACTGGTGGAAGCTGTTTGGAGTCCCCCACTAAGACAAACCTATCAGCATAAAAGAGGGGCCCTAGGGAGACAGGCTGGAGGATCTGGGAGGCTTCATCCATGATACAGACATCAAACCGCCTCTGGGTAAAGACTGAGTGGTTCATCCCTAAAGCCGTGGTAGCAACCACTCTCTGTTGATCAGAATATGGATCAGACTAGAGAGTATTCAGTATTTAACAATCATTAAACTCAAACATGTCTAGACATTAGCTATTCTCCAATTGAACAAAAATACATATTGTAAAGGTATCATATTCTGAAAAGCACTTTTTCTTAAGCTTTTTAAACTTGATTATAATTAATTACAGCTGCAAACCTACTTGTGAACTGTAAAATTCCCTCAGGTCAGCCACATTAGAGATGTTTTCTGTCAGTTTCTCTGCTCCATAGGGTTGTACAGTAGGGTGAATTTTACTTGTCCTTCCGAGGCGTACAAATTTGACTCTCTCCTGTAAAATTACAGAGCTTTAAGGGAGTGAACAAGATGTTAAAAAGGTGTCATGGAATCAGCCAAACATAGGTAAAACAGATTTTATTGACACAATACCTTGAGAAGTTTAATGAGGATGTTGTCCACTGCTGAGTGTGTGTAGCTGGTCAGCAGGACAGAATGTCCTAAGAGGGTCAGGACCTTGACTAGAGCCACAATGGTAGAAGTTTTACCTGTCAATCATAATACATGTATCCTCTGTCAGGTCAATTTGTCAGAAATTCAAAATTTTTAGAATTAGGCGTCAGATGCACAAGACTAAGATTTGTAGTTCTTTAAGTTTAATCTTCTGATAAAATTTTGTAATAACACTCACCTGTTCCAGGGTAGCCCTTAATAAGAACGTAATCCTTGCACATTAAAACCTACAAGAATGTGATCATTTCTGAAGTACAGTAATTACACAAACAGCCATTCTACATGCTCTCCCTATGCACTGTTTCATTTCAGACATTTAGATGTCATAAAAACAAGTACATGTATAAACTTGAGTTCATTTTGAGAAACAAAAGTTGTTTTTTTTTTAATGCCAACAAATTTACCTTTAATATTGCCGTTTTCTGAGGTTTGTTTAAAGGTTTGAAAACATCTTTGACTGTAAAAAGAACATCGAATGAGACTTGTATAAAATAAAATCAACATACTCAATGAATTACAATCAGAAAAGAATGAGTAAAAATTCAATTAACACATTATTTTTCCCTTTTTCATATGGGACATAATTCATCTGAGTGAATAAACTAGTTCTAGTAACCAGAGTATTTATAAGATACCTTTTTCAATTTCTCCTTTAGACATTTTCAAAATGAATTCTGGCTTCTTATTTTCAATAAAAAGTTCACGTAATCTGCAACTATGACAAAAGAAAACATATTTTATCTTTTAAGAATTAAGTGAGTATATATATATATCAATATATCAAAATCCCCATTTGCTTAACGTAGGATTCATTTTCTAAAGAAAAAGAATAGTTTGATAGAAACATCAGACATAGTGGCTTAATGTCTCATTTGACAGTCTGGTTAATGATGTTAAATATTCAATGATAAGCTAGATAATACAAAAAAAAGAGGATTCAAAAACATTCATTTGTTTGCATACCTCACAGGCTCGTCATACAGTAGACGTGACAAATTAGAGTAAAATATAGCTGACGTGTTATAACTGTCATATCTATCTAAACGGAAAAGGTGAGATTTCAAGGTCGTCAGTCTCTGTAACCCTTCTCTGAAAAAGAGAAAAATATAGGAGTGCAATGAACTTTGAGAATTCATAACTCCTACAAAAGAATGAGTCTAATGCTTATTACTTAAAACAAAACTAGAGGTACACCTATTTGATACTTTATAAAATAAGTGTCTTTTTCCACTTGATCAATTCTTTAAAAAATTAGCGATACCTTATAAAGTAATTTCATTTTTTCTGTAAACGACCTTGAAATCCTGCAGATGGCTTTCTCCCCAAGCTCTTGACCTTTTCTTAAATTATATGTGACATTCATACAACCTTCCAATGTTATAGTCTGGACACCGCTTTTACTCATTTAAAGCCACTGGTCTTGAGATGCCATATGAATTTCCTCTAGTCAAGGTTGTGACATGACCTCTTTTGATCACATGACCTCCTTTGATCATGAAATGACCCCCTTTGATCAAGACATGACCTCTATTGATCATAACCTCTTTTGAGCACGACATGACCTCAATTGATCTTTTCAAGCTCAGGATGGCTTTCGATGTTCTTTTAAATAATATCGGGCCTGAACACATCAAATACACTTGTCTGTGACCTAGGTCTTTGTCCTCCCATTCTCCAGATTAACATCACAACCAACAGCATATACAACCTACTTTGTTTTGAAAACATGCTGCAATATGTGCCTGACAACAGGATGATCAGATACACATGGTATATACCTTTCTGTTAGTAGGACAACTTCTTCTTCTGAAATGTTTGTTATACTGCCAGCACACACGGCAACTAATTCCGATGTCTCTGCAGACACAATCACGTAATCATGCTTCAAAATTCCAACCATATTCAGGGAAGGACTACTTAGTCTACAAAAAAAAAATCAAAGAATTTGGGAAAATTCAACAAACTCTCAAGAAACATGTATTACAAGCCAGGCAGGTAATTTAATGTAATATCAATAGTAAGATGTGATATTGTAATATAATTTTAACGAAAAAAACACAATCATGTAGATTTTCTCTAAAACCATATCATAAGAATATACTGTACATTTACAAATGCATGAAAAAAAAGATTAAATTCAATGTACTTGATCTGGTGCCAGGGCCATAAAATTTAGATGAGCTCACTTTTTTGATCTCAGTTTTAAAAAAAGGAACTATTGTGGAAAAATGGGGCTGAAATTAAAAGTGAGCTTGTCTAAGTCTTATGGCCCCATAGTCTGATATGGTTCACATACATGTATGATTTGCCAAGTTACATAAACATTTTAGATCAATTACATATATATCAGGATTGGTATAATTGGTATAAAGATCAATTCCAACACATTTAGTTACAGCACATTTTTTCTAAAAAAAAAAAAAAAAAAAAAGAAAAACATGAATTTGATCTTGAACCATCATAACTCCATGTAATGTTTGCATCCTTCTGAGATGTATCTTTTATGGAAATTCACAATAATGTGATTTGAAATACACATGTAGAAAGTTCTAGGCTTTTTGTGAAAGTGTGACTCCTCTAAGACAGACATCACCCAAAGTTTTCACTATGCATCTGCCAAGTTGTGCAGGCAACACAGAAATTGTGTAAAACATATTCCCTACAGTATATTACATTTCGAGTGAATATTTAGAACATCGATTGCACAATCTTATCTGTCTACAGTTATACAGATGATGCCAACACATTTTGCTTTATAGTCTTAGCCATCTATGAATTATGTTACCCCCCTGATTTTGTTTGATAATCTTTTAAATCTGTGAGCTTTCACTGATTTTTGTTTAAAAGTCTAATACTGTGGAATCAACCCACAAAGTTTTGTCCCCACAAACAAGTCAAATTTTGCTTGCCCACAAACATCGACTCTCACAAATTAAACAAGAGGCCCAAGGGCCTTAACGGTCACCTGAGTATAATACAACAATTTCGAAGTTAAATACACTGATAGATGAAGCAATGTGCCCTAGGGCAAGAGAAGTAGGAAGATCAGGATCAACAAAATAATTAGTCTAGTATTCAGTATCAACTCATAAATTAAGTTCTAATCTGTCCCCCACTTAACACTATCACCATGCAGACTATTGACAAACTATTAGTTCTTCTGTACTATTTTTAAACCCATATTAAGACGTCTAGCATTGACCTCTCTTATGGTCTTTGAAGAACTTTTAATAAGATAAGTTATTTTTGTCTCATTTTTATTTATCTATTACTTACAGGTCTACCTGATTATTAAAACTAAGAAAGTACTTTTTTAATTATACGATAAACATTCTTGCATAATTATCTTACTCTATTAACCTTTCAAATACATTATTTACAGTGATTAATTATCAAAGGTGAATGGAAAAGGGGAATAACTTCTCTCAGTAGAATACAAATTAATAGAGCCCTGCCCAGGACCAGAATGCTTAGACGAATGGTCCAGATGTTTAAAAATCTGGTAGACATACACTTACTCATATCATTTAAACTTTTACTCAGTTTGCTTCCGATATGCCCAGAAGCAGAGAAAAATTTCACAGGTACAAAGCATTTTCACTACAGATTCAACAAAGCCTTACCCTAACACCAGAACCCAAGACCAAGGGTCAAGAAATTTACAAATTTGGAAGAGTTACCCTCATCATCATAACTATGGACTTCAAAGAATTAACACTTTTCCACTATATTATCAAAAGCCCCCCCCCCCCCCCCCACTTCGTTATGCCAGAACCCCTGACCCTAGGACCACAAGATTTAAAAATTCTGTTCAAAGCTCCCATTTTCATCATAGCTAAGCAATTTATTTATCAGCTCAACACTAAGGAGCAGACAGGATTAATTAATAGAATTAATGCTTTTTCACTATATAATCAATAGAGCCCCCCCCCCCTCCTCAAGAATCCCAAAAACTGAGGCCATATATTTAAAAATTTTGGAAGAGGCATCCTTGTCTATCATAATCATGCACTTAGTTTGTTTAAATAGTCTCCAGTAGCAGAGAAGAAGATTTTCAAAGAATCAATGCATTTTCACTACATAATCAATAGAGCCCCGCCCTAACACCAGAAACCCGACACTGGGGCCATGAATTTCACAATTTTGGAAGAGGCACTCTTGCTCATCATAACTATGTACTTAGTAATTTTATTTAATACTCAGGAGCAGAGAAGAAGATTTTCAAAGAATTAAAGCATTTTCACTATATAATCAATAGAGCCCCACCCTAACACCAGAACCCCTGACCCAGGGGCCATGGGTTTCAAAATTCTGGAAGAGGCCCACCTCCTCATCATAACTATGTACTTAGTTTATCACCTTAATGCACAGGAGCAGAGGAGAAGATTTTCAAAGAAATAATGCATTTTCACTATATAGTTGATAGAGCCCCGCCCTAACACCAGAACCCCTGACCCTGGGGCCATGAATTTCACAATTTTCGAAAAGGTACTCTTGCTCATTATAACTATGTACTTAGTTACTTTATTAAATATCCAGAAGCAGAGAAGAAGATTTTCAATGAATTAATGCATTTTCACTATATAATCAATAGAGCCCCACCCTAACAACAGAACTCCTGACCCTGGGGCCATGAATTTCACAATTTTGAAAAGGCACTTTTGCTCATCATACCTATGTACTTAGTTACTTTATTTAATACCCAGGAGCAAAGAAGATTTTCAAAGAATTAATGCATTTTCACTATATAATCTATAGAGCCCCGCCCTAACACCAGAACCCCAGCCCTGGGGCCATGAATTTCACAATTTTGGAAGAGGCACTCTTGCTCATCATAACTATGTACTTAGTTCTTTTAATTAATACCCAGGAGCAGAGAAGAAGATTTTCAAAGAATTAATGCATTTTCACTATATAATTTATAGAGCCCCGCCCTAACACCAGAACCCCTGACCCTGGGGCCATGAATTTCACAATTTTGGAAGAGGCACTCTTGCTCATGATAACTATGTACTTAGTTCCTTTATTTAATACCCAGGAGCAGAAAAGAAGATTTTCAAAGAATTAATGCATTTTCACTATATAATCTATAGAGCCCCGCCCTAACACCAGAACCCCTGACCCTGGGGCCATGAAATTCACAATTTTGGAAGAGGCACTCTTGCTCATCATAACTATGTACTTAGTTCCTTTATTTAATACCCAGGAGCAGAGAAGAAGAATTTCAAAGAATTAATGCATTTTCACTATATAATCTATAGAGCCCCGCCCTAACACCAGAACCCCTGACCCTGGGGCCATGAATTTCACAATTTTGGTAGAGGGCTCAATGCTTATTACAATGATGCCAACAGTTTGACTGCTTGATGTCCAGGAGTAAAGAAGAAGATTTTTAAAGATTGCATTATTTTTGGTGGTTTTAGCCCCACCCCTCAGGCCCCAGGAGGGCAGGGACCATGAAATTCACAATTTTTGTTCCCCTTCACCTATAGATGCTATATACCAAATTTGGTTGAAATTGGTTGAGCGGTTCTAGAGAAGAAGTTAAAAATGTTCAAAAGTTAACGCACGACGGACGATGCACGACGCCGGACAAAAACAGATAGCAATAGGTCACCTGAGTGACTCAGGTGACCTAAAAAAAATCCACAGTATATCTATAATTGTAAGGTGACCCTGGTTTTTCTTTGACACTGCATTTTCTAACTACAAGAGTTAATTTACCCCATTTTTCGGTGGAAATGAATGAAGACCACATCCTTGTCCTCACTGTTTTTGGTTTTTTCAGGTAAAACTGTCAGGTGACTCAGACAATCACCTTTCTTCTCCCTGTAACAAAGTCATTCAATATTTCACTTTTTAAAATGCCTGCACATACACTTGTATCTTTCACACACAGTTACTTGTACTGCAATTTCAATGAATACAGTCAAAACTCATCATCTCTAACAAATGGGGATGAGAACAAGATTTATCCAGTGATTAGAGATATTGAGGATACAATACATATATGTATGTATATGTACATGGAGCAAAATTGGTTGGGACTTCCAACTCACTTTGAAATATCCAAGATAACAATGTTCAAGATACCAAAGTTCAACTAAACAAGGTACAAACAAATTATAATATTTTCTATAATATTTTTGAAAAAAAAATTTACTAAATAAACTTTGCTCAACTTTTAATTCTACAAAGCACATGAACTAACAATACAGTACACAAGACTCCCATTCCACCACATATTCATAGATGCTTTACAAACACTAACCTTTCTGGTCCTGTCTTGCACCAGATTTCCTTCAGACCCCCTGACTTCTGATTTGCTTTGTTTTCAAGATCCAGCAGCAGACACCAGTGAATAAAATATTCCATGTGGGAGGGGGATAGGTGAGCAAGGGTCTCAGGAACCAACTTCTGCATAGCATGGTTATTCGACAAAGCTCGATTCTCTACATTTCTAAAACAGTCAATATTGTGTTTTTGTAAATTATCAACGAAAAGCAATCTTTTTTCCACTAATTTTTCAACTTCAGTTGTTGTGAAATTTAAAAAGCACATTCAAGTACACTACATGTATAAACAAAATAAATACTTTTCTTGCAGTCACAGTTTCTAAGAAAGAGAGAGGTGGAGGGAGGAACTGTCAGAAAACAAACCGTACTTCTGATAGAGAGCACAATTAAGAAGCTGAGGACATTTGGTGCAGGCTCGTGGGTTGTTAATTGGCTCTGGGAGTCTCCCCAAGCTGTAGGTCACATGACCATCCTCACAATCTACCCTCTGGACCTGTCGACTCAAGTAGTAGGCCATCTCATTTCTCAGATTGATGATACCTGTAACAGTTATATACATGTTCATATTTAAAGTGCAGTCTGTGTTACTTTTACTTTAGTTAAGACTTACTTATTTAGAGCAATGTATTTTTATTTAAATCTTAATCAGTCAGAGCTATTTCATACCACTATTATATCCAGACTGAAATCACTACCTAAGATAATTCTCTTTAAGCTTTTAACTTTCATCAAAAATTAAAACTTTATGCATCAAGAAAGTCCTGAGTTCATTATTTGATATCCACAGAAAGTATTAAAGCTGCGCCACTGCTGTATAATGTACATGTATGTACACCCACCTCTCTTGTTGACGTGATCCACCTCTATCATTTTCATGACTGGTTCCTTTAGGTACAGGAGAAGACCTTGTTTGGGATCCTGACGTCTATCTGAACTCATCATGCTGTATAGGGTCACCTATTAAAATTTACCACAGAATTACACTGAATCTTAACCACCACAGAATAACACTGAATCTTAACCACCACAGAATAACACTGAATCTTAACCACCACAGAATTACATTGAATCTTAACCACCACAGAATTACATTGAATCTTAACCACCACAGAATAAGACTGAATCTTAACCACCACAGAATTACATTGAATCTTAACCACCACAGAATAAGACTGAATCTTAACCACCACAGAATTACATTGAATCTTAACCACCACAGAATAACACTGAATCTTAACCACCACAGAATAACACTGAATCTTAACCACCACAGAATTACATTGAATCTTAACCAGGAAAAAGTACATATATGTGTCAATCAACCATAACAGTGAATAGCCATGGACAGACAATGTTGTTCCATTATTTCATTTTTTATGTCCAGTTGAGTATTTCTTATTACATGTATAAGCTTGTTGGTTATCATATATGTTTTGACAACATGTATATGCATAAATTCTCTTAATATATAACATACAGTACATGTATTTCATAATTGAGAATACTACCTACTTAATCATACATGATTTTCATAAAAACATGTTTTGAATAAAAATCTTTTATACTCTATATTCTCAATACTTCAACCAATTAACTTATTAATAAGAGTAAACAATATACATTTTGCATTAAAGTATAAGATTGAAACATTTCAAGCCAAGAAAAACCAGTAGTAAACTTCCACTAATGCAAACCATACACTGAGACTAATTTGTGTTGAGATGTGACATATGTGTACAGTGAAACCAGTCTAATCTGACATGCACTGGGAGAGAAATTTTGTGTCAGAATAGACAGGAAGTCGTATTGCACTGTGTAAAGCAGATGGAAAATAGTAAAACGGGAATGAAAATAAGGGTCGGAATTCACAGTGAAACGGATTGCACAGGTGTCGGATTAGACAGTTTTCACCGTACATCATTTATGCCCATAAATCATGATAGATATATAACATACTTGGCCTTTGTGCTCCATGGAGAAACTGGCTCTTCCTGTTTTTAGTTCCAGAGGGACAGTAGCTCTATGGTTCTTATTCAGCTAAAACAGAATCATGGAATACTTATTAAATGAAGAACAAGTATCCCCCCCCCCCTTTAAAAAAAAATAAAAAAATTGATAGTTAAATTGCTTCTATTGTGTGTTCCTGACCCCCCACCCCCCACCCCAACCCCCTGAATCCACCTCTTGTCTGTTGTCCAGTCATAAATACCTCCTTGTGTTATAAAGGAAAACTGATAAACACATAAAATACAAAGATTATTACCTTAACATCCACTGTCAAATCAATTTTGCCTTTCACTCCAAACCTGACCCCCCCCACCCCACCCCAACCCCCTGAATCCACCTCTTGTCTGTTGTCCAGTCATAAATACCTCCTTGTGTTATAAAGGAAAACTGATAAACACATAAAATACAAAGATTATTACCTTAACATCCACTGTCAAATCAATTTTGCCTTTCACTCCAAACCTAAATTCAAAACGATATCTCATCAATAGACAAGAGATCTATATTGTATATGCAGTTCTGTATATTGTATATTATCTCCTACTCAAGAAAATAGTGAAACTCTAGTTCAGAATTACCTTGGTGACCAGATGTTTTCCTCAATGTCTCGAACACTGCTAACAGTAATGTTACCAGATGTTTTGCTGTAATACAGAATTCAGAGCTGAGAGTAAATTATATTCACAAACACATTTTCATGCTCTAGTCCCTTCCTTATCCAAAAACTACCTTTAACAAGTTAAGAATTAATGCATTACTACCATATTCAGATTTTATAGACTATCTGAATGAAATCTGATCTACGAATAAAAACTGAGACCCCCCCCCCCCCATTTTTGATCACACTCTAAGATTTGCTATCTTTGACCTCTCACCATAAATGTACTAAAGATGATTTCCTATTTTTAAGCTCAAATCATACTCTGAGTGTACTCAATCTGATTTCCAACCTTTTAGCTCCTATTACTCTTCCAGTGTACTCAATATGCTCTCCTATCTTTGAGCTCCCAACATGTAACCCAAGTGTACTCAGTGTGTTATCCTACTTTTTAGCTCTCATAATTATATAAGCAAACTTACAATGTAGCATAATTCCCTATCTCTAAGCTCCCATCACACACAGAGTGTACTCTGTATTTTCCTACCACTCTGAGTGTACTCAAGTGTATTTTCCTACCTTCGAGTTTCTATCACACTCTGAGTGTAATCAGTGTATTTTCCTATCTTTGAGCTCCTGTTACTGTGGGTGTACTCAATGTATTTTCCTACCTTTGAGCTCCTTTTACAGAGAGTGTACTCGGTGCATTTTCCTACCTTTGTGCTCCTATCATACTCTGAGTATACTGAGTATGTTTCAGCAACCAGCTCTGTAAGGGTGGGATATATTTTTTAATTTCTTCCATTACTTGTAAATCTGTCACACCATTGCCATACCTAAAACAAGAGATGCTTGTGAAACACTTATGCCCCCCTCCAAATTGGAATTTTTGGAATATTTTATAAGTTCAAGGGGCATAACTCTGTAAAAAATTTCTCAATTGTACCCAACACACAACTTGACCTAGATATTTTTCTGGTATACCAATTAAATTTCATTTCAATATGTGCAACCTCTGCAAAGAAAATGAACGGAAACTGTTGGTGGACCGACAGACAGACAGATCAACCGACAGACAGCAGCAAAGCAATATGCCCTCCCTTCTTCGAAGGGGGCATAAAAATTTAAAATGGGGCAAAATTGTTTGCAAGTGTGAAAGGGCGAAAATAACCCTGTATACAGTATATACATATATAATATTATAGAAGAAGCTAACAAGCAGAATTTTTAAATTTCTTCATTCACAATTCTGGATGTGCAAACAGATTTACATGTATCTGATAATTCAAGGACAAAATACTTCTGTGTTTTATCAGTTTCATCTTTATCATAACTTACATTTCATGGATAAATTTGCTTTGTTTCATTGTGTTCTCTGCCTCTGCTGTGATTTGGTTCTCTTCATACATCTGTTTTCTTAAAACCTTTCATGAAACATGGACAAAATATTTGCACTTGCACCATAAGTACTGTTTAAATTCAATTTCTTCTGACAAATGTATAATATTGACGACCCCTACTGTATTTCAAATTTAAGCCATGGTTTTAGAAATATAATTCTACTGTATGTGTGATAATTGTGTAATAATTTTCTTTTCAGCTGTCCATAGATTATCAGCTTATTTTTCTCAAGTATGTACATGTATTACATATATCAAAATTAAAACTTTGAATTCCAATGGTCAGCATTAGCCCCATCTTTGCTCTTGAGGCCAAGACTAATGGCTTGGGCAAAAATTAATATACAGTCAAACCACATTATCTTGAACCCATAGAACTGAGAAATTACTGAGAGATATCTAGGATTCAAGATATCAAAGTTAAAAAAAGGTTGATGGGACATCATCTCAATTTAACATATCCATAGTATTTGAGATATTGAAATTGGAGATACCAAAGAAAACTGTACGTGACAACGCTTGCTTGTAAACGATGAATTACAATGGCTTTGTTGTTCTTAGAACATTTGCAAAAAAAAAAACAAAACACCTATGTATTCCTATACATGTACTGCAGTACAGGAACATTTCTATTAAACATCTGATATAGATTTGAGAAAAGATTACCTCTTGAAATACTGAGTGGATGATGCTTCCATATAACATCTGGATGTTTCCTCTGTCACATCCCTAGATAACAATATTTTTCTTTTTTAATTCAATCTTATTTTTCACATCTGTAGGACCAACAAAAACATTGCAAAATTCTCCAACATATAAAGGTACAATTCATATGCATGACCTTGGTAAATTGTTCACATTATTTCAAAAAGTATTTTGAAATCTTTTATTTTGGGGATTTTTTTTCTTCTTATTTTCTTATTTGGAAGAATTGTCTTTACCTTGAATTTGTCATTTAAGATGGATCTGAAAAAAAGGGAGGAAGGAACTGTTTAAAATATTAAGTTCATTATAAAAAATATTTTTGTTCAACACAATGTCAAGGATGGTTACAACAAGCTACATGTATCGTAATTGACTTTTTTTTAATCTTGATTCATAATCTTGATTTGATAATAATCTTTGTTCTTGATATTTGCAAGTAATTAAGCACACTTTTAAAAGCCATGCCAAATTTCACTCAGTAATATTGGACAGACATAAATATCAACCAACCCCATCCCATTCTTTGACCAAAAAGCCACTGAAGAACTTTCTTACACAAAAATCAGAAAACATCATGGATTTAATGTAGATTTTTCCTTACATCTGCTTATATACACAGTTTAAGGTAGTGACACTTACTTTCTCATGCAGAATATACTAGACACCACAGTTGTCCCTGACAACAGGAGATCAGGGTTAACTATAATAAAGCCTTCTTTGTCTGTGATTCTACAAATTCCATTACTGTCAAACGTTCCAAGGATGTGAATTGTGTCTCCCTCCTCTACATGTGTATCTGACCTTCAAAAAGAAAGAGAGCATTCCGGAAGTATTTTTCAAATACAGCATTAATGTATATCCCTACATGTATCACCCTCCAACACTCAAAGAGTATTCAACAAAATTTTACAGAACCATGTCTAAGAAACCATACAAACTGATAACTTGCAGCTGGGATTTCAATACTTGAAAAAATATAAGTGGAATTAACAATACAAATTACATGGACCATGATATTGAACTTTTTAATGAGGTCTGCACTGTATGTGTAGCAATCCAGTGCATTTTAAACATAATTTAAATACAACACAGCCTCATATCTCTTTCTGCTGAAACAAGGATCATACATGTCACCTACCAAAATCCACAAAGTACACAAGTCCTCATTTCTTCAGTGTCATATGTCTTCACATTCAGCACTACTTCATGGCTGAAAAAGGCCAAATTTAAATACAGTTTCTTTTCATTTGTTTCATAGAAAAAAACCCAGCATAAATGTTCATATTTACTTTATTTCCCAATTAAACGTAAACTGCACATTACTACTTACTTGACATGCTCTTTCTTAACAACAGTATGCCTTCCATATTTTGTACATATTGGGAGTTCAGTTTCAGCATCTATTGTTCTTAAAAAGTAAAAAAAACATATTGTTAACATTTACAAATACTGAAATTTCTCATTATAAAAAACAACTAAAACATCTTGTATTCTTCACCAAGAATATATTAACACAATCATAAAATGGTGCATTCAGAAATTTAGAACATTTATATTCATTATCTTTGGTGTACCTGAATAAGTGGAACAAGGCATGCATGAAAAGCACTAACCTAAGATTACCCTCAAATAAACATGTTTACAGTTTGTTACTCTAATATAACTATATACATGTACTTACTTGTTCACCTTTACATTTGTTTTGAATGGTGACAATGCATCCAAGCCTTCACAAAGACTGTCATCCATCTGAGACTGGAACTCTTCAATGTCATCCACCATTGGAGGAGCTTTTGGTATTTGGGAAGCAAACTCCTTAATGTTTTGTGTAGCAGTTGTCAATTTTTCAGAATCTTCTGGTGTTCCAACCAGTTCAATATCCATACTTTCTTTGTAAGTGTCTTGAAACCGTTCAACTTGAATAGAATTCTGGGAAGATTTAAGCTTCATGGACACTGCAGTGCGAGGAGTTGGTGACTTTGGAGCACATGTTTCCGAATGTTGCACAGAAGCAGAAACTTCCTTAGTTGTTTGAAATTCTGCATGAACTTCCTCGTCCAAAGTCTGAAATAACATCTGCTCCTCTTTTGAAACTTCTGCATTCTTTATCAACAATGGGCTCTTCTTCTTTGAGAGTGATTTTCTATTCTTTAATTTTAGTGTTGTTAAGGGTGTATTTTCATCAACAAATGTCAAAGGTTCTGCATTTGTTTTGGCATCCAGCTCTCCCAGTAACTCTCCTAGAACATCATCATCAGCTGTTGTCACATCACTTTCACTTTCATTTTTCCTATGTGTACTCATTGTCAGTTGGTAATTATTCACTGCTGATACTTTGGGTTTTATTTTCTTCCTTTTTTCACTAGGTTTTACATTACACAGATTGCGTTTAACTCTATTTTTATCTATAATGACATCACTGCTGTCTTTGAAATCATCCTCCGCAGTGATTCTTTTGTATTCAGGGGATTCCCCAGTTTTTGACATCCTCTTGATGGAAGTTTCATACAATTTAGTGGGTGTCTCTGCATCCATTGTGATCAAACTTGAGTCACATATATTCTCTGCATCACTTTCAATATTTTCTTTTTCTACTAAACCTTGATCCTGCATACTTTCTGAGCTTTTCCCAATCTTTGTTTGGCCAAAAACCTGAGATTCATTTTCCATCAATAATCTTGTGTTATCAAAGCTTTCTTTTAGACCAATGCCAGAATCTCTGTGGTCTACCTCAACAGTTACATCACTCAGGATTTCATGGCATCCATTTCCTTCAACCTTCTCCAAATTTTTATCAATTTCTTTTTCAGTGATATTTCCATTCATATGACTAGACAAAGATATCGAAACTAAACTCTTTCGAGCTCTAGATAAATGTTTCTTCTGAATTATCTCTGCTTTTGTCAGACCAGGCTTCTTCCCAACTGCTGCAGTGGATGTCAAAAAACTTCTCCCAAAGCCTTTCTTCCCTTTAGGCTCCACCTTAGAATCTTCTGGTGTATCAGGAATCATTATTTCTTCACAATCACTGATTGAGTCATTTCTCTCATCTCCCTGCTTACAGAGAGCTGGGCTTTTGAATAACTGTGTTTCTGGAATTACTGTTGGCTCCTTATGAGGTATGTCTCCCTCCCCTTCAGTTCTTTTGGGCAGCCCTACATTGCTTTTAACTGAGCTAGATTGAACACATTTCCTACTTGCTGCATCAATCTTGTCAGTTTGGTTGCTTTTTAGAGATTCTGTGGACTTGTTCCTCTTGAGGGATAACTTAGACACTGTTGTGGGTTTGTTTCCAAGAGTTGTAAATAAATTACTGGTGGCTGGTTTACTAGTACTATTTCCCTGCTGAAAAACATTTACTTTTTAAAGATAAAAAGATAAATACAGGTATTTTATACAGACAACACATGTATACACCTTTTCCTTAACAAAGCACATAGCTGTTGTGATGTCCCTGGTTAAGAATTTGAGGTTTTCTGTGATTATTTTAAGCTTGCCATAATGACCTTGGTTTGGGGTTATCACATATCCTCGAGTTTTAAGGGGTTTTCATCTTAAATACAAATATTTGATTAAATGAAATAATAAAGTTAATGCTAGGACAAGATCAGCAGTCAGCACAGACAAATATACTCAGGTGCTATAACCTTGAGCCAATGTTCACAATAAAAACAACCCATACCTGAAAAAAACTTGAAATCTTCTTTTGCTTTTCATCCTGTCAAAAACAAATGACTAATCTATCAATATATGTACATGTATAATATTTCACTATTTCTGTTAAAATGAATGCAATGTAATATTAACAAGTAGTTTTTTTTTTTTACATATCTACCTTTATAGGTGTTTTCTTGACTTTTCCCATGCTGTAGAATTTCAGACTCCTCCAACCATTTTCTTCCTAAAATCATACGTTAAATACTGTATACAGGGTTATTTTTGCCCTATGTTATTTTCACCCTTTCACACTTGCAAACAATTTTGCCCCATTTTTAATTTGCCCAGTCAAAATTCTGTTAAACAAATTATACTATGGTTTTTAAATTCGCCCACCTGTGTGAAGGGCGAGAGTGGCAAAAATAAAACGGGGGGCGAAAATTTCCCTGTAAACAGTACAAGTTCATTAGAATTTAATAATTCTGACAATCTAATATTAAGTTGTCCCACAAACACTACTTTTTCCTCCTTTTAATATATTTCATCACTATATATTTATGATACAAAAAACATAGCTATAAAATATTATAAATGTAACTGTAATATACATTTTCCAATATGATTTTTCATACACTGTATTTTCTATACAGTATATTCCATATACCTGGTAGTATGCTTATATATCCAAATGATAAATTAAGTAAATAATTTGCATGTAGTGAATTTAATCATTTTTTTTTCTGATTTAGCCAAGAGATAATAATTGTACTTCAGCTCCTTGTCTTCTCATTTGACTTCAATAACCGAGTACTAGTATTGACTCACAGCCAGTAGAGGCAAATCTCCCCAATACAAAATCAAAACTGACAGAAGAAAATCGGAACAATGTCACAAAGTGGATATTCACCAAAAGTTCAATGTAACAGCATCTTTGAAGATGGTAGGAAGAAGTTCATCTTCAAAGATGCTGTTACTTCAAATGTTTATGGGTAAATTCAGAGATGGCATTTTGTCTAACACAATTACAATTTTCCTTGAAAAATCATGAAAATATAGTACATGTCAGATACATGTATATCTGTTAAGCAAATGTTTGTACAAATTTATATATTTCAAATAGCATACAGTCAGTTCACTTTTATTACTTTACTTCTGTGTGCCAAGAATTGAAGGTACAAAGAGATCTGTGTATATCACATGTAGGAATAAATGTCGTGTATATTGTATATAGGAATAGATGTGTGGATGTTTTTTAATGTATGTATTATGTCAATCAAATTAGAGGTGTAACAATATACATGTATCAATATTACCCCGATGAAAAAATTGTATCCTATTGAGGTACCAAAAAAACATAGACCTGCATATCACAGTAAATCACATTTTCAGCATTTCATATTTATTTCTGAAAGAAAGTTAATTATTGCCCAGTTTTTATGAAAGAGTATTAGCATATTGCTACTTCTATTTCATTGAGCATTATCTAATTTTTGTCAAAAACTTTTTTTATCATTGCCATTTACATTTTGTTTCACAGCTTTCCAAATATGTGAATGGTTGAAGAAGTAATCCATATCTTTTATTCTTACATTATATGAAACTATGAAAGATAGTTTACTATTCCAGAACAAAGAGACACAATATTAATATATAAAAAATTGAAAGGTGATATAGTGTGATACTTACCATGAATTATCAATGATACATTTTCAGCGTATCATGTACAATGTACATGATCTTTTTCAACCCTATCATTTCACCCCCCCCCCCCCCCAGTTGGTATATATAATGCAAGAGGCCCATGGGCCATAACCCTCACCTGAGTTACCATGACCCTGCTGTTCTTCAGATATTTGTTCCTATATTTTTATGAAAATTTTGGACCCCATATTATAGACCCATCCTTCCCCTGGGGCCCTGATTTAAACAAACTTGAATCTGCACTGCCTCGTATTCCTTACATATATTTTTTTTACTACTCATGGTCCTGCTTTTCTTGAGCTTTTTTGTCATATATTTCCTTGAAAAACTTCTATTGTCACCCCTGCCTACCCCCTAGGTACATGATTTATACAAAATTAAAAAAAAATCTGTGCTACTTGAGGATGATTACAAATTTAGTTGACTATTCACTGTCCAGCTGTACTTGAGATTTTTTTCTTTCATATATTCCCTTACATCTTCTATTGTGGCCTCTGCCTATTTCATTGACCTGCAGTACCTGACTAATGCTTAGGTGAGGATGACTAATTATTGCCCTGCTGTTGAGATTTTTAAAGACTACTTATGTAGTTTGCTTTATATTCCATTGTATAACTTTGATTCCCTATGTTGCCCCCCCCCCCTCCCCTCCCCCATCAGGCCCATGAGCTGAACAAACATGAATCTGCACTACCAGTCAGCCTGAGGATGCCTGCATATCAGTAAGAATATTTTGTTCCTGCTGTTACTGACAAAATGATTTTTGAATAATTTTACTTTCTCTTTACCCAGAGATATCCTGTGTCAAGTTTGGTTGATACTGGCTCCGTGGACCAGAGACCTCGGAATGGCATACTCGGAAGTCTCTGGTTTTATCCTACATTTATAACCCCAACAAAGCTTTGTATCCCATCTAAAGTCTTATTATGTATCATGTGTATCAAATTTTCGAGGAATAAATGAGTGATTTACAATAAAGAGGCTCTACCAGAGACCTTTGAAATGATTTAATTGACAAGAAAAAATTCTCTCAAAGCGAACAATGTCATTTTAAAGTAGGTTAATGATTGTACTTGAGATTTTTTCTTGATATACAGGTGACTCTCGATCTCTCGAAGTTCAAGGGACCGCAAGAAAAGTTCAAGAGATCAAGGGGTTAGAGAGATAGAAAGTGAATAAAATCCGGAATTTTCAGTTCCGATCATCATTGTTCTACTATTATAAATACCGGAAGTATATGTTGATAATAGCATTGCACGTTTTCATTGTAGTTTACAGATAATTCACTTGATTTCAACAACAATGATCGTATTTTGAATAAATAAAACGATCTCTTTAAGTTTCAACATTTATTTGTTCCCATTTCATGATTACATAAAATCTGAATATCAATCGTCGGTGTGGCTAACCCACGGGCCTGATCAGGTACTTTAACAGATTTCTCGTATTAAATCGGTATTTAATTCTTGAGATAGGATTTCTTGTGCAATGTTTGTCATACTGGGATTATGTACATTCTAATAAAAACTTCATAATCTATGGAAAATTATTGACACGCCTCTTAAATTATTTTCTAAAAATTTTCGTCGCGCTGTCAAGTCAAAAATAAGTTGTGAAGCAATTCGTTTATAATTTACCAATTATAACCAATTATTTATATCAACACTCAGATGCTCACAGGTGTAGTGTCATCTATGTAAACACCCAATTAACACCTCCATGCCAGCCCCAGGCGTTCACTGTTATCCAGGTAAGTCCAAGCTGCATTAATTTCACGCTTGATTGGCGTGTACAAAGCGCAATCAAAACTTCGAGAGATAGAGAGTAAAAAACAATGAAATGTGTGTAACGGGACCCAGGTCTTGGTTCGAGAGATAGAGAACTTCGAGAGATTGGAAGTTCGAGAGATCGGAAACGAAACCTGCAAATCGGGTAGTTGAAAAAAAAAATAGAAACATTTCAATTACATTAGTGGTTTAGAACTCTATGCTTCCAATACATTTGAAATATATTTTTAAAGTGTATTTCAACCAAATTTCTTCAAATGCTTATTCAGTGATTCATTTTGGTGTGTGTCCTGCGTAAATTACGCACAAATTTTGCCCAGGACGCATTATTTCAATAAATGTGCATCCCAATAAGTGATGGGAATCGGTAAGAATTTCATAATCGATGATCGGGTTACTGTAACAAACTTATTATCGAATATAATCGGACATTTACAAAGTCTATCAATTTAGTTAATTAAATGGTAAGAATGGGTAAATGACTACTTTCTACACATGTGTTTGTTGTTTATTTTGCTGTAAAAGAATAAAAGGATATCATCTGAGTGTTTTATTGAGTGTGTGTCTGTTTTCCTTTAATTTTTCTTCCTACCTTATACAGATGATTGGAACACCACTAATCCCAATGGACGCAATAAATTTATAGAAGGACACCACTAATCCCAATGGACGCAATAAATTTATAGAAGGACATGTACTATTTTAAATTATTTCGGTATAATCTGATTCAAAACTTGACCGATTGCATCATATCCACGTGCTAAGCGATATGCATGAGCGATTTTAACAGGTATAAGGCTGCCAACAACAGGTCAGATTTCACAACTGCAGTTAAAAGCAATTATCAGAAAATGTTTGAGAGTTAGATAGCATAGTTCGATTATCACTTATTATGTCTATACCGTACGTGGAACGTTTCTGAAGTGAATACTATACCTTTGTATTTAAGCTGTAACCTGTATCATTATTTTTTTCTTTTCGTTTTTTCCTTACAAGCTAAGAAGTATAAAATTTAATCATTTTTATTCTGACTATTTGTCATTTCTTCTTAAACTTTTTTTTACTTCATTCTGCTTCTGTGCATTTTATGACTGATACAATGTGTGAGATCGTATGTACGATCTAAAAATAGAACCGAAGTGCACAGTGGACAATATATTATTTTTATGACACAAAATCATGTACTCTTACTTGGACAATTGATAGTAAAGTTATAAATCACTCACAGCTACAATAAAACATTTGCACTTTCGTGCAATACCCTTTTTATTTCACTAGAATTTCCTCTGTAACATCTAATATACGGTACCCTTGGATTTGGACGCATTGATTTTGGCATGGGACTCATTGTTGTCATTAAGAGGGGTCCTTTAGACCCATGATAACCATTTTCAAAATGAATCACTGCTTATTTCAAAACAGTGTTTCAGACTTTCTGCAGAACTGCGTATTTGGGTAGAAAGTCGTATCCTCATCACTTCCATTGAATAAGCTTTGATCAGTTTAAAAACGCTAACATCCTTGTGGCAAATTGGCCGAAACGACTGTTGAAGTGCCTAAACCTTTATGAGAGTTGCTGGTTAATGAAAAGAATATTTAACCTACGACATGAGCTGTTGATTTTAGGGCTATGTGTAGATTTATGAGACAATTCAACAAAAATTCCTCGGCAGTGCCTCTCGGTTTGCAGACGAAGTTGGTAACCAGTCTAGACGAACTCCAAAAACAGCGTGAACTCCGAAAATGAAGTCTTTGGCTCCATCATGCATTGCGGCAAAATGGCGTCCGATGTAAACAAACAATGGATTGTCGCTCGCTTTCTCCAAATAAACGGCTGCATAATGGCTGTATTTAGTGCATTATTACTTCGTTTTATTTTTTGTTGAATGGATAATTGCATTTATTGAATTATTTTGTGGATATTGACTTATTTATCGCTTCAAACTCTTGCATAATAGTGAATTGGATATACGACATCGAATTCAATTCTGCCGGTAAGAAATATTTTCTTATTTAATTTATTGTCTCCTTGATTTAAATTTTATGTCGTTCCTACAATAAAGGTGCTTTAAATTTATTATTGAAGACACCCAACTTGTATTTATTTTAATCAGAAAATGCGCATTTTTCACCACGGAGCAGAGATATTAACATGTTCATTTTTAGAAGACATGTTGTGTCCTTAATATCTAGAAGAGTGGTTTTTAAAGTTATTATATTGATAGATAATAGTTTTAAAAATGTTTTCATAATAATATCTGTTCGTATGTGATAAAAAAATCGGTAAATAACTATGGTAAAAACTTACGCGTTCAATTCAGATGTCGTACACAAATTAAAAAACCGTAATGCTAATTTATGTGTAAAATTCAGTCAAGTTTTTAACAGTTACAATACATATTGTCCCATTTTGCATATATATCCCTTTTATTATGCATATTTACTTCTCAAAACGTATCATTTTCTCTGTAATTGATCTGACCTGAAACGTTAACTTTAAAAGTAAATATCTCCTTTTTTGCAAATAAAATCAAAAATCTAACAAATACGATCTCTTCCAACGTCTTTTGTTTAGCATTTCTGAGTACTGGCATAATTGCCATACTTTCCAAAACTTTGCATGGACAGTTTTTGTAGACCCATCATTTTTGCTCAAAAATCGCCATTTTTTGTGTGTGTGCGCATGCGCAGACTCTATTTTCGGAGTCTTTTTCAGTCTCAATTTCTTACTTCCGGAAACGCTGTTTTTGGAGTTCGTCTAGACTGGTAACCTTGTTAATTTATATATATAGGGTAGGGTAGTAATTTTTATAAAATGTTTGTTTAACTCAATTTTCTGTAATGATGATATAGAGATTATATCACAAATGTGTCATTCTATAATTTATGAGAAAAAAGTCGAACATGCCCGGGGGTCTATATCGGGGGGGGGGGGGGTCCTGTCCTCAAGCACCTGTGCAAAAAATGAGAGCTTGAAGTGGGGGTGCCTGAAATTGAGTTAGGTACCTTGTGGTAAAAATAAGTAGGGGGTGCCTCGTATACGAAAGGAGTGCCTGTGGGATCAACGTTACAAGTGTAAGCTGTGTATAGGTTTTTGATAGTACAACTGCGCTCGCCCCAACAGTCACACCGTAAAACATATTATTATTTCACACAAACATCAACAGCTGATTTACAAACTTACAATTACTGTATAAATGATCATTTAATTTATCGAAGTCAATGTTCATCCTTTAGATCAAGAACATTACCTGCTGATTCAGAAAGTCAATACATATCAAAGGACATTTTGTAGATTCTGAGATTTGTTAACCGTTGTTAATTCAGTAACAGTAGTATTTACAATTTGCGCCATGCTTTATTTCGTATCTCCTACACAAAAGATTTCGTTGTGTATATCGATCCCGATATTAATATTAGCGGTTGTCTGTCCATCGCGCAAGACCAGTCTACATTTTATGCAGGCACGTAGCATCGGGGGGGGGGGGGGGTTACTCTAAGATATTTCAACTAATATTTAGTCGTTTAAATTAAAGCAAACATATTTCAAAAGCAGATTATGTAGTGTAATAGAACAATATAATCTTAAACAAAATCTTCTTCTCAAGAACAGCAAAGTTCTAATTAGTCATATTAATATGAAATATCCTCAAGTAGTTTAGATTCAAGTTTGTTCAAATCATAACCCCCGTTGATAGGGTGGTTTTACTATATACATTGGAAAAATCTTTTTAAAAAACACAGGTAGTGTAGATCCAATTAAGTTCATAAATTAAATTATGATCCACGGGGGTAAGATTGGGCCAGAATAGGTAATCAAAAGTTGTATACGTGGGAATATATAGGAAAAAAGGTTTTTAATTTTTTTTTAAGAACAGCAAATGCACGATTAATCGTATTGATATGGAAGTATCATCAGGTAGTGTAGATTCAAGTTTCTTCACATCATGACCCCGGGGGGAAGGGTGGGCCAAATGGAAAATTAAGGTTTTATATAGAAATATATAGGAAAAAATTTATCTTTAAAAATCATAAATTTTATATAGAAATATATAAAGGAAAAAAAATTAATCTTTTAAAATCATTTTAAGTTTTTTTTATAGAAATATATAGGGAAAAAAATCTTTTAAAAATCATCTTAAGAGCAGCAAAAGCATAATTACATGTAGTTCAAATCATGACTCCCGGGAATAGAGTGGGGCCAAAAACGTGATGAAAGTTTTACCTAAGAATATATAGGAAAAATATCCTGATGTACATGTAGGGCATCAAGGCCATAGTGACTCAGGTGAGTGTTGTGGCCCATGGGCCTCTTGTATTAACTTTGCTGCGATGCAAAAAACAGGCCTCAACAATTAGGAACATTGACAAATTTGGACACTCTTAAAACTGTTTATTTTTTTATTATTATTATTTTTTTTATTTTTTTTTTTACAAACAAGTTTGCCTTTAGAAGAACAATCATGTCCCTCGCCTTTGCGAAAGCGGGGAAAGTAACATTGCAATGTTTAAAAAGTTTGCCATTGCATTTTGCTTCCAGATCGTTACATAATTTAAAAAAAAAAAACGCCAAATGAAATTAATAAAAATTAGTAAAAGGGAGGGTGTTCAACTATCATGTGTAAATTTGAATTTTACTGTATGGGGTACATGCAAAATTTTCAGCCTGTTATCATCCTGTAAATTTTGCATTTACCTCCATCCAGAAACCTTAATAGTATATATTATACAATATATACATTATTATCACCGCAAATTAGCTGCTAAGGCGGGTTGCAATTTTTTTTTTGCACCATATGAAGACCCACTGAACATAAATCTTGTTTTAAAAATAAAGCCAAAATATACAAAAAGGCGGGGAATTGATTGATTTCAGGACTGTGCACTTCGCCTTTGATATTCCACTTGTTTACAACTACGTATGTTGTTGCATTCAGCACAAAGCGAAAAAAATTTACTTCTCAGTTTTTGAAAAGTAGATACATGCAGTCTTATTTGAAATTCATGTCTTTTCTTTTTAAACTAGATGCTGTCATAAGACAGTAATACCCGCACTAAGGTTTTTGCCTCTAAATGTGCTCTGACTGCTCTCCTTCAAATTAACTGGTAACCAGGGAAGAAGCACACATTTAAATCAAGCATAAAATATACCGGTGAACATGAAGCTCATATGGGCCTTTCATGTAAATCAGGTGCGGATCCAGGAATTTTTTCCAGGGTGATCCAACCCAGAAATTTCTTGACAAGCAAAAAAAAAAAAAAAAAAAAAAACAAAAGAAAACAAAACAAACCAAAAAAAAAAAAAAACCAAACACCTACACTCCTTTCCCAAATGTGAAAACCTATTTCATGGTGGAGTTGGGGGGGGGGAGGGGGAGGGGGGGGTTGGCCGCTCATTTTTAAAGCTTCATATGTATAACTTTTCATACCAGCTTAACAGGGGTCTGTGTTTTCTAGGGAGGGGGGGGGGGTCCAAGGTCACTTTTAGTTGCTTTCGTATATAGATTTCGTATATAGGTTCCGGACCCCATCCGACCCCCCTCTAGATCCGAGCATGTAAATATTTCATTACCAGTCTGGTATTACCTAATCTAATAATGTAAATTCTGATAAAGAGAGAATTTTTGAAAGATTTGTGTAAAAATGGGGGGGGGGTTAATTTTTGACCCATGATATTGGAACTTGTTGAATTTATTGTCGAAACAACAAATATTATTATTTTAGTGCATAGCTTTTTTTGATGAACTTAAAAAAATTAGATGCCAAAATGACAACTTGTGTAAATTTTATCAGTATTTGGGTAGAACTCGGAGAACCCCTTCAAACCTTGACCCAGTCACCTTTGTCAAAAATCAACCCCCACCCACGATTCACCAGTTTTCCTATCTTATTTAGAATAGATAACACAAACTTATGAAAAAAATTGTATGTAATTATAATATAAATTTTACAAATGTACACCTTTTTGGAAAATTTCTAGACTCGTGCGTGGAATTACGTCACACTGCGAACACTACTTTTACCGTTATCATTAATGTTTTGCACATGGTGTATGTACATCAATATTACCACTGGGATTATTAATATTTAGTGTGTGTTTTAAATGGATTTATTATTCTATCAAGTTAACATGTAGTACCTATAACAGGCGGTAAGTACATTATGAATATATTATTTTAGAAGTTTAGTATAGAACGGGGTTTGTTTGTTGTTTAACGTCCTTCCCGAGAATTTTTCACTCAAATGGAGACGCCACCACTTGCCGGTGCATGGAGGACTGCAAATTTTAACTTATGGCTATGGTCGGCACTTAGGGCCATTGAGCAGTGAGGGATCTTTTTCGTGCCAACAACTACTGCAACACGGAACCTCGGTTTAAACAGTCTCATCCGAACTGGTCTCCACGTCCCGCAGTGGATTCTCACCCTCGATTTAACGATCAACTCCTTACTCCACGACTCTAGAGTAGATGTTCTAACCACTGCGCCACATGGGCGACTAGAACGGGGTAAAATAATCGGAAATGAAAATGGTTAGGGGTCTATAGTTGGAAAAGGGTCAAAGATCATTGGAATGCCACAATTATACAAATTATACAATGAGGCAAGTCCCTGGGGTCATTCCCACTCTTTGGAACCGGAAACAATAAAATAGCTTTCATTAAAGCAAAAGCCCCTGAGTCATCTTTGTATTATAACACACTAAATAGGATATATGGGGTCATGACCCCCCAGAGGTCATTCCCAACCCTCAAAACTTCAAATGATCATATATATAACTGTAATCAAACCTCGTTATCTCGAACTCAATGGGACCGAGAAAAAACTTTGAGATATCCTGAGGATTCGAGATATTTAAAGAATAAGGGATTGGGACTTCCAAATCACTTCGACATGTCCATGATATTCGAGATATCCATGTTCGAGATACCGACGTTCAGCTGTACATTGTATCTTGAAAGTGGTTGAAAACTTCTCCCCTTAACCATATATAATATTGTCCCTTGAGTCATTATGCATTAAATGGTATAAAGGTTATGACCCCTTGAAGTCATGCTCATCCTGAAACTCAAAATGATCACAATATGACCTGCATCAAAAGTGTGTCAGTGATAATCTGCTTGACATTTTATTCAGGACCCCCTAGGGTCAGTCCACCCTCTTAGAATTAGAAAATGAAAATTATTCAGAGACCTGCCATTATACTTATTGTACATGTACATTTTTGTATTTTTTCACAATTTATTTTATACCAAAACAAGTTATAAATAGTTTGTATAAATAAACAAGCCAGGGGCTGGGTAGGGGAAAAAGGGGAAGGAGTTATGTCTGCATGGTTTTAAATGTTGAAAACTCCTAAAATTTGTGAATATTAACCCAGCCGTTTCCCACTTGTCATTATTATTTCCTGATCTTTTCACAACTTTACATAATTGTGTCTTTATTAAATCAATAGATCATGGACTTTTTTGGTCATATGCCTAGCTCTCCCTTGAATCAGGAATGGTGATATAAATATTTTAAGAATCTCTTAAAATTGATTAAGCTGAGTGTAGATGAATTAGCTATACTGGTATAGCTTGGTTTTGCTATTCAAAACACTTTGATTTAGCTATTTAACATGTTTAATCATACTTTTTTTTAATCTACATTTTTATCAATATATAGATAAAAGTTGCATGGGTATAAATTTTAAATTTTCAGCTTTGAGTTTTCTGAAAACAATGCATGAAGGAAAATTGCTTTTCAAAAATTGTCTCCTGAGAATTTGCTATCACAAATATATAAATTTTGCATGGGGCTATATACCTGGAGTAATTTTTTTTCTCTCTTACTCTTTCATCTACTTGAGTCAAAATAAAAGTGGAATTATAAGACTTTTTTTTTTTAATTGATGACTTTTGAGGATTTTACACTAATCCATACTGCAGCAAGAATGTTATCCCTCCCAGAAAAAAATAAGTTTACGCATTATCTTGTTTTTGATCTATATCTATAATTACAAAAGGACACAGCCAGAAGTCTTTTAACATGGTTTGTTACAAATTTCACTTGGAACTCCTATTAATTTGCTCATTGACAAGATCAGTATTTTCAGTAGGCAGAAATGAACTTGATCAATTGTGCTTGAAAAGTACTCACTGTGAACAATCACCTGACTTGTTGAAGACGTAAACATAATTTTTCATACAAACTTTCTTGTGCCTGCTACCCCTTTTGGGACATAGGCTGCTAACAAGATTCCTCCAGGCCCCTGTCATACAAAGGCCTGTACAAAA